AGCAACAAACACAAGGAACAACACTCTGACATTTATTTCACTTTCTGCTCAGAGTTTACTTTACATTTCTCTGCCAATCGAAGGACTGAAGCAGAAATTTCAGTGTGGATCAGTAGAAGATCAGCCTGATGGCTGCAGTTTAGTGTCACCACAACTTTACATCACATTCATCTCAGAACACAAATGAAACATGAAGTCTGACCTCAGAGTCTGCAGGATGCAGTCTGGACTCTCCAGAAAACCACACAGATGCTTCACTCCGGAATCCTGCAGGTCGTTGTAGCTCAGGTCCAGATGTTTCAGATGGGAGGGGTTGGACTTCAGAGCTGGGGCCAGACAATCACAGCTGGTCTGTGACAAGAAGCAGCGCTCCAACCTGAACAAAGAATAAAAGACGTAGATAAAATCAGTGATAAAATCAGGCTGCTTTTTGTTGACTTCTCATCCACTTTCACCACAATCCAGCTTCACATCCTGGTCGAGAAACTTGTTAGTGTCTTTGGTGTTGATGCATGTCTGGCGGGTTGGATCCTTGATTTCCTCACTAATAGATCACAACAAGTCAGGGTCAACGGAGCACTGTCCAGCCAACTGATGACCTCCACCGGATCGCCTCAAGGCTGCGTTATATCTGCCCTTTAATATATTTTATACACAAATGCTTGTGTCAGCCACCACGATGACAGACTCATCACCGAGCAGGCTGACGATTACCGAATCGTCAGCCTGCTCGGTGATGATGAAGTCGGACATGGGCAGGTTCTTGATTTTATATTATGGCGCAAAGAAGCTGTCCTTCAAATCAATGTTTATAAAGCAAAGGAGATCTGCATTGATTTTAGACGGTCTCCCCCAGTACCTCAGTGCAGTGTGGTCCATGGCGAGCCAGTGGAACTGGTACCTAGTTATAAATATCTGGGTACTGTAATCGACAGTAAACTGAAGTTTGACTTAAATTGTGAAATGCTTGTTGAAAAAGGTCAACAACAATTATTCTGTCTGAGAAAGCTCGCCAAGTTTCAGGTTGATAGGACCCTGATGAAGCTCTTCTACTGTTCCTTCATTCAGTCAATTATTTCGTTTTCGATCATATACTGGTGTAGTAACCTTGGCAACAAGGACAAGAATTCCCTTGGGAGGATAGTAAAAGTATCCTCTAAAGTACCTGGGGTGTGTTTTAATAGTCTTGAAGATATTTTTAATACACAAGCTAAAAAGAAAGCTCAGTTGATTCTTATGGATGCTACTCTTCCTCTCAATCAGGAGTATAAGTTGCTCCCCTCCGGCCTTCGTCTGGCAGTATCCCAGGCCACAAAAAACAGGTACAAGTTCTCTTTTGTGCCTACCTCCATCCGAGCTATAAACGCTGAGAAGAGGAGGAGGTAATGCACAGTGTTTTTGCTGCTGGACTCTATCATGTACTGTGCTGCACTTTAACCTGTTTACTTGATTTCTTCTCTTGCTACTGCTGACTGTTTCACTGGAATACACCTGAATGACCAAGATTGCTGCTGATGTCCCTGTCTGTCTTATGCTTTGTGTAACTTTTAAATGTTTTTATTGTCTTTAAAAAAAAAATTATTATTATTTTTTTTAAACATTTCCTTTAATCTGTCTTTTTAATGTTTTTATTGGTGTTTATTGTGAATGCTTGTGTAAGCTGCTGCATAACAAATTGCCCCTCGAGGACAAATAATACATTTGAAGTTGGCTGATCCATCAGATGTGTTCTGGTTCTGAATGTGCAGCTCAACATGACTTTGTCCTCATCAATGAGCTTTTCTCTCCAAGCAGCACAGTGACTTTGTCCTTCTGTTATTGTGGATCATCATCATGTCAGCTTCTACACACATCATCCAGATGTCAGCATCCATCCAGCTGTTCATGTCCACACANCAGCACAACATCCATCCAGCTGTTCATGTCCACACACATCAACAACATGCTGCAGCATCAACAGGATCAGGATCAGTGAAATCACATTGAACTGAACACAACCCAAAGAAATATTTCTCTTCAAACTGATCTGAGTTCAGAGGATCTTAGAATAAAATAGAACAGAATAGAATGCTTTTTTTATTGTCATCATACACAAGGTACAAGGAAATTAAAAGACAACTCCAGTGGTACAGAAGTATAAAAGTAAAAGTATAAAAAGACAAATATGAATACATACATGTATTTACAAAAGGAGCCAGTAGAAAGTATGTACAGTTAGCGAAACGGTAGAATAAATATATTGCACTGTTGAGGTAGGAACACTGTGGATATATGAGAAATAACATAAATAAAGAAATTATTATTATTAGTAATAAATATATACAAAATACAGTATCATGTATAATAATAATTGAAACGTAATTATGATATAATTATATAGTATAGTATAGTATAGTATAGTATAAATAATAAATATATGTGACAAATAGTTCAGACTATGGAGACTAGTGTGCGTTCAGTACCCGTATTGCATTTGGGTAGAACGTGTTGGTGAGTCAGGATGTGCGGGCCTTGATGGACCGGTACCTCTTTCCTGAGGGCAGCAGTTAGAACAGGCTGTGCCCGGGGTGTGAACCATCGAAGGTGATGCTTCTGGCCCTGCACAGACATCTGGTGTCATAGATGTCCGACAGAGAGGACAGCTGTGCTCCTACGATGCTCTGTGCTGACTTCCTGACTCTCTCCAGAGCCTTCCTGTCAGCCTGAGAGCAGCTCCTGAACCACACCAAGATGCTGTGGGTGAGGATGCTCTCTACAGAACACCTATAGAAGGACAGCAGCAGTTCCTGGGACAGGTTGATCTTTCTCAGTGACCTTAAGAAGTACAGACGCTGCTGTGCCTTTTTCACCAGGGCATTGGTGTTGGTGCCCCATGTAAGGTCCTGAGAAATGCATGTTCCCGGGAACTTCAAGTCACCGACCCTCTCTACGGTGTCCCCCAGGATGAGAAAGGGGGGGGGGGACCCCCTTCCGCCTGAAGTCCAGCACCAACTCCTTAGTCTTTGAGGAGTTGAGTGCCAGGTTACTGAGGGAACACCAGGTAGTGAGGTTCAGGACCTCCTCTCTGTAGGCCGTCTCATCGTTGTTGTGAATCAGCCCAACCACAGTGGTGTCATCTGCAAATTTGACAAAGATGTTGCTGCTGTGGGTTGGTGCACAGTGGTGGGTGTCCAAGGTGTACAGCATGGGGCCGAGCACACAGCCCTGAGGGACCCCGGTGCTCACTGTCAGCACTGAGGAGTGGTGGGGCCCCAACCTGACTGACTGCAGACAGTTGGTGAGAAAGTCTCTGATCCATCTGCAGGTGTGCTTGCTGATGCCCAGACTGCACAGTTTTAACAACAGTCTGCTTGGAACAAGCGTGTTAAAAGCAGAACTGAAGTCCACAAACAACATGCTTGCATAATTGTCAGATTGTTCAAGATGTTGACACACTGTGTGGAGGGCTGTGTTGATGGCATCACCTGTGGACCTGTTGACTCTGTATGCAAATTGGTGCTAATCAATCCTGGGAGGCAGTAAGGATTTTATGTGCCTCAGCACCGGTCTCTCAAAGCACTTCATCACAGTTGACGTGAGAGCCACAGGTCTGTCATCATTCAGACTGCTGACCGACTGTCTCTTGGGGATGGGCACGATAGTGGCAGATTTTAGGCAGCTTGGGACTGTGCAGGCAGCCAGTGAGAGGTTAAAAATGGTAGTAAAACCTCTGCCAGCTGGTCTGCACAGCCCCTCAGTACCCTCCCCTGGACACCATTGGGACCAGCAGCCTTCGACAGGTTCACACCCCGGAGCATCCTCCTGACCTCCTCCGTGCTCACAATAAGGGCCAGGTTGTCAGCGGGTGGCATCTTCTGGATCCAGATGTGACTCTTCAGCACAAACTACAAACATTCATTGACTTTAACAACTAACTCTGAACATTTTGAACACTGATACAAACACTCAGCTTTTGTAAAAACTAGAAAACATGAACCAGAGCAGATTTACAGCTTCATGGATGAAGTTCTGTTTGAACATAACTGAGCTTCAGTTGTCATGAAACACATCAGATCTCCAACAGTAACAGACAGTCAGTGGACTGACCTCAGAGTCTGCAGGCTGCAGTCTGGATTCTCCACAAAACCACACAGATGCTTCACTCCTGAATCCTGCAGGAAGTTCCTGCTCAGGTCCAGATGTTTCAGGTGGGAGGGGTTGGACTTCAGAGCTGAGGCCAGAGAATCACAGCTGATCTCTGACAACCAGCAGGCCCTCAATCTGAATAAAGAATAAAAGATGTGAGTTGAGGAGACAAAGTTCCTGAAATCATTCAGAGTTTCATCATGTGTTCAGAGCTGAAGAAGCTTCAGAATGTACAAGTTGAGAAGATGTAAAGTCCAAACAGCTGAAGCCACCAGGATGCAGCTTCAAACAGTCCAACAGCAGCAGAGAAGAAGAGCTCTCATGAATCTGAATGACAACATGCTGCTGTTGGAGCCACTTCAGCTCTGAACCTCTGCAGCTCCACCAGTGGCTCCATCCACACACACTCATGCTGAGCAGCAAACACAAGGAACAACACTCTGACATTTATTTCACTTTCTGCTCAGAGTTAACTTAACATTTCTCTGCCAATCGAAGGACTGAAGCAGAAATTTCAGTGTGGATCAGTAGAAGATCAGCCTGATGGCTGCAGTTTAGTGTCACCACAACTTTACATCTCATTCATCTCAACACACAAAGAAAACATGATGTCTGACCTCAGAGTCTGCAGGATGCAGTCTGGACTCTCCACAAGATCTAACAGATGCTTCACTCCTGAATCCTGAAGCTTGTTGTAGCTCAGGTCCAGATGTTCCAGATGGGAGGGGTTGGACTTCAGAGCTGAGGCCAGAGAATCACAGCTGATCTCTGACAACCTGCAGTACCACAATCTGAATAAAGAATAAAAGATGTAGATAAAATCAGTGATGATCCATCAGATGTGTTCAGGTTCTGAATGTGCAGCTCAACATGACTTTGTCCTCATCAATGAGCTTTTCTCTCCAACCAGCAGAGTGACTTTGTCCTTCTGTTATTGTGGATCATCATCATGTCAGCTTCTACACACATCATCCAGATGTCAGCACAACATCCAGCTGTTCATGTCCACACACATCAACAACATGCTGCAGCATCAACAGGATCCGTATGGAGCAAAAGTGAATCAGAAGAGCCAATTCCCATCGAGTGAGAGCCGGCCCCTGACTTTTTTTTTGTTTTTTGCTGCTCAGTGGCTCAGCTCAGCTCACGGCAGAACTTTGTTTTGATTGGCAGCATGGCGGCCTTGTGGCCAATCACATGTGAGGATTTAGTGCCACAGCTGATGTTATAATGGAGATGTGATGCTATCTGAGGAGCCCCTCATCCAAGGAGCAGAAGAGCCACTGAGCTGGTGGCAGGCCGAGGCCTCAGTCTTCTCCACCTGGTGGAGGTGATGGAGGGAGACAACATCTGTTCCCTCTGAGAGAGACTCTCAGTAACAGAACAGATCATAACCGAGAGGAGAAACCGCATCAGTCCAGCCAAGCTGAGACATTTAATTCTTTTGAATGCAAACCTGCACTAAGGACAAACTGTTTGGTGTTTGACCTGAGTTTTGGTCTGTTCTAGTTCTGTTCTGGAGGTTTGTTTGCACTGTTTTGTTCATTTGTTTTCACGTTAAATTAATATTAAAATTTTGATTAAATTATTAAACAAAAGTAAAAATGCCTGCTTTTGTAACATAAAAATACACAAAATTAGGCCATTATAAGGCTTCTCAGGCTACAGATGATGAGAAATTAAAAGCCATTTGGGAGCCCAAAGAGCTGAACTTCCCATCACGAGTATGGAGGTCCTCAAGGTTGCAGCTTGAAGAGAGGACACGATTAGTTGAGCTGCTGTGCCACTAAGCTCTTTTTCTGCAAATATTACTTTTCACAGAACCTTGCAGGTCTGTAGCACGTAATGAGCATTAATGACTACTGTTTGAGACAGTCTGACAACATGCTGCAGAGAAAAAAACCCAACAGGCCAAAAGACCCTAGCCAACAAGCTAGAGGGGACGTCGATGCCGGAGCTCACGCTGACACACTTGAACCTGCACTTCGGGAAGCCATCTCCGAATTTATGCCAACATCCTCAAAGTAATTGATGAAAAGCTGGGCCGTTGTCAGAGCTGCTCCAACTGCAACGGGAAGAACTCCACGGCCAAAGCGGATCTCTGAGGCAGAGACAAGAACTTGGGCACCGGAGGATACTGTGGACCCAGTCCAGGGCAAACTAAGAGCTGGAGAGACAGGTGCTGGACATGGATGATCATATGGACCACCTGGAAAATCGCAGGACGAGAAAGAATAAAGGCATCATTGGATTTCCAGAGGATGCTGAGGGCAGTAATCCCACAGTTTTTGGAGATTTGGCTGTCGAAATCAATCAATCAATCAATCAATCAATCAGATTTTATTTCTATAGCACTTTCCATACAATCACAAATGCAACGCACGGTGCTTTACTGAAAATAACTAGAAGAGCACTCTGAGAGCTCAGACCTCCTCCAAGCAGCTCATTTCCACCATATTGTGATTTCCAGCAAGTTCTGCATTCATTTGATCTACACTGTTAGATTCATGGAGAATCAGATCATAGCGTTTAAATTAACACTGATATCATTAATAACAAGCTGACAGAGTGATGAATGGTCGTTCTGTACTCTAATATTTTGTACACTTATGTTATTTCTGCTGTTACTTACTGGCTTTTAAGCGGTTAGCTAACGCTATGCTAGGCGGGCAAAACTACAGTGATGTTACTGCTAACATAAACAGACAGGGAGTAGCTTAAGCTTAGGTCGCACAATTTTAGCAATGCAATGCAAATGAAAAGCATGACTGATGCAACGCAGCCCGCGTCAGTCGTCCTGACTCATGGCAAAGAGAGTTAAAGTGAACCAGGAGACATGTAGAGTCATTCTTAATGTCACAACGTGTTTCTGAACTTATCTGTCAGTAGCTCCGCTCAGCTCACTCCTGTGATGCTGCCTGGCTGAAGCTTACTGCTGTACTACTAAGACAGCGGTGAGGACTGAAGGACTGAATGGTGTCAGAGCTCCATCTAGTGGACAAACGGCGCAACGACAGCACTCTGCGCCACTGTGACACTTAACAGCATTTACTGTTTTATGAGAAAATAACCAGATGGTAAACCAGAACATTACCAGAATGTAATCATCTGTTCATTGTGCCGTTATCAACATTTCCTGAAAATTTCATGAAAATTCATTCACAACTTTTCGAGTTATCTTGCAAACAAACAAATAAACAAACAAACAGAAATTACAGTAAAACAATAAAAACAGCTCCCCACCCCCACAGTCAAGTTATCAATAAAAGGACTCTAAGACACTGGAGTCGAGAACTGAGGAATCACTGTCCTATATAACAAAGAGAATGAGGGAACACCAGAGGAGATAAAATAAAATAAAATAAGCTAGATCAATAAATAAAATAAAATAAGATACAGACTATTAAAAGATAGACAAAAAATCAAAACATTTAAAAACAGAATAAGAAATGATAAAAAAAATGAAGTAATAAACAATAAAAGAAAAAAGAAAATATGGATATAGGTGAATAAATAGAGAACTGAATAAATAAAATAACT